CAGTGTGATAATAATAATAAAAAAAAAAAACTTTTTCCATCTTGTTGATATTTCCATGCTAAATGCTTATAACATATACAAGTTGAGGATCAACAACAAACCAAAATATGGTGAATTTTGTTTGTCAGTCATCAGACAAATAATCGCCAAGTACCAAGGAGCAACACCTGCAATAGACCAGTGCCCACGAAATTACCAACACACGCCATATCGTTTGAGGCCTGGCGATCACTACCCCATACAACTGCCTCTTACTGCTTTAAAGAAAAGTGATCAGAAGAGGTGTTTTGTATGTGGACATACCACAAAATGCCCACAAACACGCAGAGACACTCGTTTTATGTGTGAGGAGTGTCATGTGCCACTCTGCATATACCCATGTTTCAAAGAGTTCCACAAGCTGCAGCAGTTCTAGGAAAGTGTTCAGTGACTGTACATATGTACAGTGGAACCTCTATTTGTGAGTTTAATCCATTCCATGACCTTGCTTGCAACTGGATTTGCTCATTTGCAGTCATTTTTCCTCATTTCAATTAATTGAAATGCAATTAATCTGTTCCAGTTAAATTCTATACTTCAATAATTTCACTAATATCAACTCTACAGCTTATTTATCTATCTCACTTCATCTAATATGACATAATAAACAATATAAATAACATACAAACCTGATATATACTCTAAAATTAATAAAATATATCATTCATGTGGTGGTATGGGTGGTGTCGGAGGTGGACGAGAGTTTGTCTGGAGACCGGGAAAAATACTTCATGAATAATTTCGCTAATATCATCTATATGGCTTATTTATATATCACAGTTCATCTAATATGACATAACAAACAATATGAATAACAGGGAAACATGATATATACTCTGGGAATTGACACAGTTACTTTTTGCTGATGATACTGTGCTTATGGGAGATTCTAAAGAAAAATTGCAAAGGTTAGTGGATGAGTTTGGGAGTGTGTGTAAAGGTAGAAAGTTGAATGTGAGCACAGAAAAGAGTAAGGTGATGAGGGTATCAAATGATTTAGATAAAGAAAAATTGGATATCAAATTGGAGAGGAGAAGTATGGAAGAAGTGAATGTTTTCAGATACTTGGGAGTTGACGTGTCGGCGGATGGATTTATGAAGGATGAGGTTAATCATAAAATTGATGAAGGAAAAAAGGCAAGTGGTGCGTTGAGGTACATGTGGAGACAAAAAAACGTTATTTATGGAGGCAAAGAAAGGAATGTATGAAAGTATAGTAGTACCAACACTCTTATATGGGTGTGAAGCTTGGGTTGTGAATGCAGCAGAGGGGAGGCGGTTGGAGGCAGTGGAGATGTCCTGTCTCAGGGCAATGTGTGGTGTGAATATTATGCAGAAAATTTGGAGTGTAGAAATTAAGAGAAGGTGTGGAGTTAATAAAAGTATTAGTCAGAGGGCTGAAGAGGGTTTGTTGAGGTGGTTTGGTCATTTAGAGAGAATGGATCAAAGTAGAATGACATGGAGAGCGTATAAATCTGTAGGGGAAGGAAGGTGGGGTAGGGGTCGTCCTCGTAAAGGTTGAAGGGAGGGGGTAAAGGAGATTTTGTGGGCGAGGGGCTTGGAGTTCCAGTTAGCTTGCGTGAGCGTGTTAGATAGGAGTGAATGGAGACAAATGTTATTTGGGACCTGATAGTGACCCAGACGAACAATTATTACCGCTATATCATGGACAATACAGCAGAGTTTGGGGAATCATCAAGGCTGCACAGATGGAAAGGTACAATAGTGGCTGAAATGTATTTATTCCTTGCCACTGTCATGCTTATGCCACATACCTATAAAAACAATATACGTAACTACTGGGCCACAGACTACTTTATCAGTACTCCTGTCTTCCGTGACCTCCTTCCCTGCAACAGATTCACTCTGTTGCTACGAATTTTGCATTTCTCAGACAGGAATAGGCTTAACAGAAATGACCTTCTATACAAAATCCGGGAAGTGTTTATCTATATAAAGCACAAATTCAGTGCACACTTTTATCCCTTCAAGAACACTGTTGTTGACGAGTCCTTGATTCTATTCAAGGGATGCCTGTCATTCAAGCAATATATACACAGCAAACGTCATCACTTTGGTATAAAACTTTTTGTTATGCGTGACTGTGAGAGTGGTTTTGTGTTGGATGTCATTGTATACAACGGGAAAAACACACTCGACAATACCAGGCGCATGTTGGGCATTTCTGGTGATGTTCAAAAAATGATGGAACCATACCTAGGCAAGGGCCATACACTGTACACAGACAGCTGGTATACAAGCCCTATGCTCGCTGATTTCCTATGTGTGAACAATACTGATATATGTGGAACAGTGAGAAGGAATAGAAAATATATGCCAAGGTTCAGTGGAGGCAGTGCTGAAGGTGCAGTGCAAGCATTTCATGCCAATGATATCATGGCACTGATGTGGCATGACAAACGGGACATGATATTGCTGCCAACCATCCACAGAAATGAGATGGTACAAACAGAATAAGTGAACAGGGAGACCAATGAATGCATTGTAAAGCTAGCTGCTGTCATGGACTATACGAACAACATGCGACTAGTTGACAAGTGTGACATGATGATAGGGTTCGTTGACTGTGTACGTAGGAGTCACAAGTGGTATATAAAACTGTTTTTCCACCTTGTAGACATTGCAGTGCTCAATGTATTCAATATGTACGAAATAAAGACTGAAAAACCACAACGTTCTGCAGAATTCTCCCTGAATGTCATAAAACAGATAGCAAAAAAGTATGGTACCCCTCCTGTACCTGCCCCTCAACAGTGACTTGTCACACCACAACCTGTCTCCCAGCCACAACCACAGCCAGTGGGGAAAGTGCCAGACCAAATCATCCCTAACTGTCACTACCTGGTACTAATACCACCTACCCCAAAGAAGAAGCATCCCAGAAAAAGTGTGCGCATGCACAACCACCACAAAATGAACCCAACAGCAGGACACACAATACATATGTCACCAGTGTGGGGTGGCACTCTGTATGAATCCATGCTTCATGAAGTATCATACAATCGTGGAGTTCTAGAAACGTAAGTGGGACATGTAAATACTTGTATATAGCTGTACATGTGTGTTTGTGGTAGTATGATAATAATTTTGTATATAACAATATTGTGAATGGAGACAAATGGTTTTTAATACTTGACGTGCTGTTGGAGTGTGAGCAAAGTAACATTTATGAAGGGATTCAGGGAAACCGGCAGGCCAGACTTGAGTCCTGGAGATGGGAAGTACAGTGCCTGCACTCTGAAGGAGGGGTGTTAATGTTGCAGTTTAAAAACTGTAGTGTAAAGCACCCTTCTGGCAAGACAGTGATGGAGTGAATGATGGTGAAAGTTTTTCTTTTTCGGGCCACCCTGCCTTGGTGGGAATCGGCCGGTGTGATAATAAATAAAAAAAAAAAAATTGGTGTATAAGCAACAATTGGCATTGAAATCAAAAGATTTACTATAAAACATATGTAAGTATCATATCATGAAAGCCAAGAAAAGTAAAAAAAAAAATGGATAAAAACGATAAATATGTAGAATTTCTGCAAGCGGCAGCACTCCATGTTGCCGTCAGGTGATCGCCAAGTGTCAACTTTGCACCCTCATATCTCGGTAAGTACTGACCCTAAACTTTTTTTTATCCTATAACACTTAGAAAAATGTGCTCTTTATTTCTATATACAAAAAAAAACTTATTTTTCAAAATATTCAAGGCACTGGGGTAGTGAACGTATATATACGTTTGGACCATTTACGGGTTAAAGATGAAAATGAAAAGCTATAACATTTCAGCCTCATCACTTGGGATGGAATACATTTTGTATTCATGGTTATCTTATAACAATAAATAGGAAAATACTAGAAAATTGACCAAGAACTTTAAAATTAAATTGGGGTAGGGGTCATTCTAGGAATGGAAGGAGGGAGGGGTAAAGGTGGTTTTGAGTGCTAGAGGCTTGGACATCCAACACTTGTGTGAACATGTTAAGATAGGAGTGAAGGAAAGTGGGTTTTATTATTTGACATGATGTTGCAGTATAAGCACAGTAAGATTTATGATGGGATTTAGGAAAACCAATTAGCTGGACTTGAGTCCTGGAAGTATAGTGCCTGCACTGTGAAAGAGAGGTAAGGGACAGATAAGCACAGCTAGACAGATAAACAGATAGACAGACAGACATGTTTGTGTGTAACAGTGATAACTACAGCAGGGTTAGCTAAATACATGAGTGAGTGTGGGTGGGTGTGAGTTGGACCTGACTAATTCATGCTACTAGGTCTGATGTCGTGCTCCTTCCTTCAGTGGATGTGACCTGACTAGGTGGGTCATTGTTCTAAGCAGGGGGGGTGACATGGACCTGCCTTGCATGGACCAGTAGACCTGCTGCAGTGTTCCTTCTTTCTTATGTTCTTATGTTGCAGTTTGGAGAGGCAACTAAATTGCAATGTCAGTATGATTCCAGCAAGACAGCAATTGGGCGAGTGATGGTGGTGTTTTCTTCTTTGTTAGTTCACCCTACCTCAGTGGGAGACTACCAAAGTGTTAAAAAAAAACTACAGAGACTCGCCTTTTTTCCCAAAAACCTTTTTTTTTTTTCATAAAATTCACACAAAATCTTTTATTAACGAGTGATTGCAGAACACTTAGGAACAACTAATGCAACTGCAACTCTCAGTGTTTATCAAGTAACTAGAAACAATATTATTACTATGGGAAAAGAATCCACTAGTTTGTAAAACCTGGATATCAAAACACTTCAAGATAGCAAAAAGCTTTTCGAGTTCTTGAAGGACTTTATCACTACCAAAGGAAATATCAGGAAAAATGTAGGGTATCATTTAACTCTAGCAGAAGTCTGGAGGGTAGTTAGCACCCACTAAACTCCAGTATTTTCACCCAAGCGATATTCTACGTTTTCCTGACATTTCATTATGAATATCAAGAGTGAAAAAACTTACATTTTGTTCGCTGCACAAGCTTCTATTCACCTCCAGAGTGCAATCCACTTTTGCAATCTTCACTTGGTCATGCCCAACAAATTTGCGACCCAATTCATCGTAAGTTGGAGCCATGCGCTTGCAGTGTCCACACCTACAAGAAAAAATGTAGCAGATGATCTAAAAAATTGCCAGACTTTTTATGTAGAACAGAGAGCATGAAAGCAATCAATGAATATATCTTCATCTCTTAATCCTTTCAGGGTCCAAGGCCCAAATCTGGAGTCACGCACCAGTGTCCAAGAATTTTCAAAAAAAAAAAATTTTTATTTTTTCTTATGAAATCGTAGAGAATCTTTTTGTGAAGGTAATAAAACAAAAAGTACGAAATTTGGTGGAAAATTGACGAAATTATGCTCCCGTGAATTTTGATGTGTCAGCGATATTTACGAATCGGCGATTTTGCCGACTTTGACTCCCATTTTAGGCCAATTACATTATTCCAATCAACCAAATTCTTAGCTATTTCACTAGTATTACTTCTATTCTATCGATTGAGCACAAGAAATCGCCAAGTCAACTGTTTCAACTACAAAATAAAGTGATCGGAAATTGTTAATTTGGCCAATTTAACACAAAGTTCAAAATATTCCAATTTCAAAATAGGGTCCAGAATGAACAATGTAGGTATTCCTGGCAGTAAACTAACATTTCCTCTGTTCATTAGTTATGTTTTGAGGCTTTACAAATAAATTCCATTTTGATTTTTTATTCACATAATGAATTTTTATTCACACCAAAAAATAGAAGATTTACTGTTATGCAATACTGTAATAATTGTATAAATATCATCACCATATGTGTGAATGTATATTAGACCCACCAGCTGATGTGTATTAGACGTGTGAGGTCGTTTGTTTACTCTTGAATACGGCAAAAATTTAACATTTCCGCTACTTTGAGCTCAGTTTCAAGCCATTTCCAATGCTAAAACCAATCAAAATCATCTCTATTTCTGTAATATGTCTTCCATTCTATCAAATGAGACCAAGAAATCGCAAATACAACTATAAAAAACATACGAAAAAACACTGCAAAGTTGCTGTTTTAATCGAAAAATCATGATTTAATTTTTTTTCTCTCATTATATACTGTGTGCTGCAGGATCTGTTTTATGTGGTGCACACATACCACATAGATGTATTCTCTCATATCTAGGCCCAAATGTACCACTCACAGTTTATCAGAGTGAGCTGAGCTCATGGCGTAGATCTACGGTTTGGACCCTGAACGTAAAGCCGTAGATCTACGGGACGGACCCTGAAAGGGTTAATCAAGTGCATTACTGAATATTTCATTAGTACAGTAATTTAAACAAATTATTTTTTAAAAATAATAATAAAAAAAGACAGAATGTAGGATTGCAGATGAGCAAGGAGGTTTCAGAGTGGGTAGGGGATGTGTAGATCAAGTGTTTACATTGAAGCATATATGTGAACAGTATTTAGAGGTAGGGAAGTTTTTATTGCATTTATGGATTTAGAAAAGGCATATGATATAGTGGATAGGGAAGCAATGTGGCAGATGTTGCAAGTATATGGAATAGGTGGTAAGTTACTAAATGCTGTAAAGAGTTTTTATGAGGATAGTGAGGCTCAGGTTAGGGTGTGTAGAAGAGAGGGAGACTATTTCCCAGTAAAAGTAGGTCTTAGACAGGGATGTGTAATGTCATCATGGTTGTTTAATATATTTATAGATGGGGTTGTAAAAGAAGTAAATGCTAGGGTGTTCGGGAGAGGGGTGGGAGAAAATTATGGGGAATCAAATACAAAATGGGAATTGACACAGTTGCTTTTTGCTGATGATACTGTGCTTATGGGAGATTCTAAAGAAAAATTGCAAAGGTTAGTGGATGAGTTTGAGTATGTGTGTAAAGGTAGAAAGTTGAAAGTGAACATAGAAAAGAGTAAGGTGATGAGGGTATCAAATGATTTAGATAAAGAAAAATTGGATATCAAATTGGGGAGGAGGAGTATGGAAGAAGTGAATGTTTTCAGATACTTGGGAGTTGACGTGTCAGCGGATGGATTTATGAAGGATAAGGTTAATCATAGAATTGATGAGGACAAAGGTGAGTGGTGCGTTTAGGTATATGTGGAGACAAAAAACATTATCTATGGAGGCAAAGAAGGAAATGTATGAAAGTATAGTAGTACCAACACTCTTAAATGGGTGTGAAGCTTGGGTTGTGAATGCTGCAGCGAGGAGGTGGCCAACTTGTTAAAAAAAAAAAAATGGAAGCTACTGTATAAAGCCTGTGGCATATGATTGTGTTATATTTACCAAGGGAAAACATTTAGTTTTCAAAATTAAATATTTTGCTGCTATGGGACAACAGCTCCAAACAGTCATGTATGAATATTTCATGGTTAATATTTAAATGAAAATTGAATAGGCATATCTTAAAACACTGAATTAAAGTTATGTAAAGTGTACCAGGGATCAATCTGGCACCTCATACATTACAAATTACTAGTAATTATGTACTTTACCATGCATCAGCATATACGTAATGATTAAGGACAAAAGAATTGCCATTACAGTAGAACCCCAAGTTTCGGTTGCCCTGAGTATCGACCGCTTCGAGTTTTGACCGCTTTTTACAGCTAAATTTTGTCCCAAGTTTCAGCCATTGCCCCGTGTTTCAGTCGGTGTACCAGGTCTGTCCGCCTCCCCACGCAGGCGTCATGAGCCAGTCTAGCTTTGTTTGTTTATCCTTGAGTGAACATTACCCTGCGCGCTCATCCGAACGTTTCACATTAAATTCATTGTGCTTAATGCTTGTTTATTAATTGTGACTGTTAAATAAGTTACCATGAGCCAAAAGAAACTTCACAATGGCAGCCCTTTGGTAAAGAAAGTGAGAAACACCACAGAAGTGAAGGAGGAGATAGTACAAAAAAACGAGAGTGGCGTACGTGTGGGCAAGCTTACCAGGATGTACGGCAAAAACAAACCAACAATCACTTCTATCCTGGCGAAGAGAAAAGAACTCAAGGAAGCTAATGTTGCAAAAGGTGTTGACATGTTAACCAAAAATAGAACACAAACAGTCGAAGAGGTTGAGAAGCTGTTGGTGGTGTGGATCAACAATAAACAGATAGCTGGCGATAGTGTTTCAGAGTCAATCATTTGTGAAAGGCAAGGCAGTTGCATGCCAATCTTGTAAAGAAAATGCCTGGAACCAGTGCTGATGTTAGTGAATTTAATGCCAACAGAAGCTGGTTTGACAGATTTAAGAAACGTAGTGGCATACACAGTGTTGTAAGGCATGGTGAGGCTGCCAGTTCTGACAAATTGGTGGCTGAAAAATATGTGCATGAATTCAAGGGGTACATAGAGGGTGAAGAATCCAAACTCCAACATGTGTTCAACTGTGATGAAACAGGCCTCTTTTGGAAGAAAATGCCTAAGAGAACCTACATTACTCAGGAGGAAAGGCACTGCCAGGACACAAGCCTATGAAAGACAGCCTAACTCTTTTGTTCTGTGTTAATGTTAGTGGGGATTTTAAAGTGAAGCCTTTACTGGTGTATCACTCAGAAAATCTCAGTGTGTTCAAGAAAAACAATGTCATTAAAAGTAAATTGTGTGCGTTGTGGAAAGCTAATCATAAGGCATGGGTCACAAGGCAAATTTTCAAAGAGTGGGTCCATGAAGTGTTTGGCCCCAGTGTGAAAAAATACCTCCTGGAAAATAATTTGCCATTCAAGTGTCTCCTGTTAATGGACAATGCTCCTGCTCATCCTCCAAACTTGGTAGACCTCTTGTCTAGGGACTTCAGTTTCATAACAGTGAAGTTCTTGCCTCCTAATGCCACTCCTCTCCTCCAGCCCATGGACCAGCAGGTCATTTCTAACTTCAAAAAACTGTACAGAAAAGCAGTGTTCGAAAGGTGATTTGAAGTGACTCCAGACACTAAACTGACCCTAAGAGAGTTCTAGAGGAATCGCTTCAGTATCTACAACTGCATAAGACTTGTAGGTAAGGCTTGGGAGGGAGTGACTTCCAGGACTTTGAACTCTGCTTGGAGACAATTGTGGCCACAATGTGTCCTCCAGAGGGATTTTAAAGGGTTTGAGGCTGACTCTGACCCTGCCAACCCTCTGCCTGTTGTGGAAGGTATTGTGGCATTGGGCAAACCCATGGGGTTGGAGGTGAGTGGCGAGGATGTGGAAGAGTTGGTGGAGGACCACAGGGAAGAGCTAACCACTGACAAACTGCAAGAGCTTTAACTGGAACAGCATCAGACCACAGCTGAGGAACTTGCTTCAGAAGAGGAGGAGGAGGGAGTGAAGGAGGTGCTTTCTTCATTGATTAAGGGCATGTGTGCAAAGCGGAATGAGTAGCAAACTTTTATTGAAAAGTATCACCCTGACCAAGCTGAAACAAGCCATATCTGCAACATGTTCAGTGACAAAACCTTGTCCCACTTCAGGGCACTCTCGACTTATTTTGTGTGACAGGGGTCCAGCGACTCTCAAGCTGGTCCTAGTGGCATTAAAAGACAAAGAAGGGAAGTAACCCCAGATAAGGACTTGTTACCTAAAGTCTTTATGGAAGAGGATTCCCCTTCCAAACAATAAGTCCTCCCTCTCTCCTCCTCCCTATCTTCCAGATGCTGGCAAGACTCTATATAGTTATTCTTTAAAAAATGCATTTTTTGTAAATATTTTTGTGGGTGTGGAACGGATTAATTGTATTTACATTATTTCTTATGGGAAATATTGCTTCGACTTTTGGCCGTTTTGAGTTTAGGCCTAGCTCATGGAACGGATTACAGCTGAAACTCGGGGTTCCACTGTACTTTGTAATATCTGATGAGTGAAATATAGGAGATGTCATTTGCAATGTTGCAACAAACATGACTAGGACAACCCACCTAGAAAGTGTTTATACAGACCAACAGCTTTGCCAGCAAGCATACAAGAGCTGGGGGAAACTACACAAATATCAGAAAATAGCAGCACCTTGAGAAACATGTCTCAAACTGGCAATCATACATATTAAACTGCAAATTCATTGGCCAGAAAGCCCAAGGACTCAAAATAAAGTCATGTGTATGATTTGTTTCTCTGACTCAGCAGCTGTATGACCCTTGTACATTTAGCGCTTCATTTTTTTATTATAATAGTAATGATAATCCTAGGTAGTAGGTTGGTAGACAGCACCGCCCAGGGAGGTACTACCATCCTGCCAAGTGAGTGTAAAACGAAAGCCTGTAATTGTTTTACATGATGGTAGGATTGCTGGTGTCCTTTTTTCTGTCTCATGAACATGCAAGATTTCAGGTACGTCTTGCTACTTCTACTTACACTTAGGTCACACTACACATACATGTACAAGCACATATATGCACACCCCTCTGGGTTTTCTTCTATTTTCTTTCTAGTTCTTATTCTTGTTTATTTCCTCTTATCTCCATGGGGAAGTGGAACAGAATTCTTCCTCCGTAAGCCATGCGTGTTGTAAGAGGCGACTAAAATGCCGGGAGCAAGGGGCTAGTAACCTCTTCTCCTGTATATATTACTAAATGTAAAAGGAGAAACTTTCGTTTTTCCTTTTGGGCCACCCCGCCTCGGTGGGATACGGCTGGTGTGTTGAAAGAAAGAAAGAATCCTAGGTAGTAGGTTGGTAGACAGCACCGCCCAGGGAGGTACTACCATCCTGCCAAGTGAGTGTAAAACGAAAGCCTGTAATTGTTTTACATGATGGTAGGATTGCTGGTGTTCTTTTTTCTGTCTCATGAACATGCATGATTTCAGGTACGTCTTGCTACTTCTACTTACACTTAGGTCACACTACACATACATGTAATAGCATATATATACACACCCCTCTGGGTTTTCTTCTATTTTCTTTCTAGTTCTCATTCTTGTTTATTTCCTCTTATCTCCATGGGGAAGTGGAACAGAATTCTTCCTCCGTAAGCCATGCATGTTGTAAGAGGCAACTAAAATGCCGGGAGCAAGGGGCTAGTAACCTCTTCTCCTGTATATATTACTAAATGTAAAAGGAGAAACTTTCGTTTTTCCTTTTGGGCCACCCCGCCTCGGCGGGATACGGCCGGTGTGTTGAAAGAAGTAATGATAATCTAACTCAGCATCACAGAATGGAAAATATGCACTTAACAGTAAAAAAAGAGGAAGAGTAATGCTTACCATGGTGCAAAGAATTTGACTAATGTACATCCTTGTTCAATGGCATTCTCAAAATTCTCAGAGGTGAGAACTGTAACTGGTGGCTGTGGCTCTCTCAGGTCTTCCTTCTGCTGAACACCAGCATCATCTCCAAGAAGGCGAACTGCAAATTTCTTTAAATCTTCATGGCTACGATCCCCTGTATATTTTTCAATCTGTAAATATCACACAGTGTAAGATACTGTACATACAGAATTTATTTATATATTTTTTTTTTTTTTCAACAAACCAGCCATATCCCACAAAGGCAGGGTGGCCCAAAAACAAAAACTAAAGTTTCTCTTTTTAAATTTAGTAATTTATATGGGAGACGGGGTTACTAGCGCCTTGCTCCCGGCATTTTAGTCGCCTCTTACAACACGCATTGCTTACGGGAAGAAATTTTGTTCCACTTCCCCATGGGATAAGAAAAATAAACAAAAAAGAACTAGAAAATAATAGCGAAAACCCAAAGGGTGTATGTATAATTATATATATGCTTGTCATGTATATGGAATATGGTGTAAGTTACTAAATCTGTCAAGAGTTTTATGAGATAGTGAGCACAGGTTTAGGGTGTGTAAATAGGAGAATACTTCCCGGTAAAAGTGGTCCTTAACAGGAGTGTAATGCACAAGTGATTTAATATTAAGATGGGGTTAAAAGAAGTAAATGCTTAGGGTGTTCAGAGAGGGGTGGATTAAATTATGGGGTCCAATCCAAATGAATGACACAGTACTTTTGCTGATGAATGTGCTTATGGAATTCTAAAGAAAAATTGCCAAAGTTTGATTTGAGATTGTGCTGTAAAGGTTTAAAATTGAAGTGAACATAGAAAAGAGTAAGGTGATGAGGGATCAATGATTTAGATAAAAAAAAATGGATATCAAAATGAGGATGAAGAAAAGTAATGTTTTCTGATACTTGGGAGTTGACGTGTCGCGGATGGAATTATGAAGGATGGGTAATCATAGAATTGAGGAAAAAAGGTGGTGGTCGTTGAGTATAAGTGGTCCAAAAAACGTTTCTATGGCAAAGAAGGGAACTGTATGAATGTATAGAAGTACCAACACTCTATATGGCTGTGAAGCTTGGTGTAATGCAGCACAGAGATGGTTTGGAGCGCAGTGGAATGTTTCCCGATCAAGGCAATGTTTGGTGTAAATTTATCAAAATTCGGAGTGGAATTAGGAAAGTGTGGAGTGATTAACACCAAATTTTAAGCAAATTGTTGAAGATGGTTTGGTACTAGAGAATTTCAAATCCTTTGGACCCATATAAATTTTATGGAAGCAAAGGGGTCAACGGTCCCCCCTAGGTTCAAAGGATTAACCTTTTGTGAGTAGTCATGGCCGACAGCAACGTGCCAAATGTTAGATACATATACGTTTCCCAAACCTACCCCCCCAACTTCATTTTCTGTTATCTAAAATATTTGTAAGGTTCAGAACCGTTTATTTCATTTAATCCCTTGTACCTTACAATGAAATACATCCCTAACCTTTTAAGGAGTTTTTAGGATTATAAGCAGTTTGGAGGATAGTTGAACTTTGTCAATTCCTTTTAATTATTTCTAATCTTAAACCCCCTCATCACGAACAGCTAGTTTAATTTGAAGAGATATATAATATTTTTTGGAATTTTCATTGTTTTTTGGGTCACCCTGTCTGGAGACTTTAACCGTGAAAATAAAAAACCTCTGTTCTAGACACCCATAAGTGAGCCTAAACATAAGAGTCTACAGCATTTTAACTTAGCCAACATAACCATATCAGTGACCCCCGTGTAAAATATTTTTTCACTCCAGAAGTATGTTCAGTCCAGTACTGACCAGAATTGTCCCAAAGAAATATTGTGAGTAGATTAGTCCATTTCAGACCCAAAGTGCGTACAACCACTTACATAAATACATTACATAAGTTGTCACATTATAACTTATGGGGCACTCACTACATTTCAACATTCACCCCCTATCGTCTATCTATATTTCTTCTAAATCCATAAATGCAATTAAAATTCCCTACCTTATCTAAATACTGTCACCATATATGTTTCAATGTAAAAAAACTTGATCTAACCCTCCCCTACCCTCTGAAGCCTCTTGCACGTCCCCAATTCTAATTCTGTCTTACCTCTAATTCTTTCAATATACCCTACGTATACTTTTCCTTGGTATAAATCGTAAAATTATTCCTCTATAATTTTTTTCAATCTCTTTTTTCCCTTCCCTTTATATAAAGGGACATACATGCTTCATCCTAGGACCTTCCCCTCTTTCATACATTTATTTAAAAAAAGTACCAACCACCCAAAAACTATATCCCCCCCCCCGTTTTAACATTTCGTCATGATCCCATCAGTTCCCAGCTGCTTTACCCCCTTTTTATTCTACGTAATGCCCCACGTACCTCCACCCACTTTCATTCTGCTCTTTTCACTCCTAAAAGATGGTATACCTCCCTGGCCAAATGCATGAAATTACCGCCTCCCTTTCTTCCTTAAATTTAAAAGTTCCTCAAAATATTCTCGCCATCTACCCAATACCTCCTCTCCCATCTACTAAAATCCCCTACTTGTTTTTAACTGACAAATCCATACTTTCCCTAGGCTTTCTTAACTTGTTTAACTCACTCCAAAATTTTTTTTTATTTTCATAAAAATTTCTTGACAGTGCCTCTCCCCCTCTTTCATCTGCTCTCCTTTTGCACTCTCTCACCACTCTCTTCACCTTTCTTTTACTCTCCATATACTCTGCTCTTCTTATAACACTTCTGCTTTGTAAAAACCTCTCGTAAGCTACCTTTTCTCTTTTATCACACCCTTTACTTCATCATTCCACCAATCACTCCTCTTTCCTCCTGCCCCACCCTCCTATAACCACAAACTTCTGCCCCACATTCTAATACTGCATTTTTAAAACTATTCCAACCCTCTTCAACCCCCCCACTACTCATCTTTGCACTAGCCCACCTTTCTGCCAATAGTCGCTTATATCTCGCCCGAACTTCCTCCTCCCTTAGTTTATACACTTTCACCTCCCTCTTACTTGTTGTTGCCACCTTCCTCTTTTCCCATCTACCTCTTACTCTAACTGTAGCTACAACTAAATAATGATCCGATATATCAGTTGCCCCTCTATAAACATGTACATCCTGGAGCCTACCCATCAACCTTTTATCCACCAATACATAATCTAACAAACTACTTTCATTACGTGCTACATCATACCTTGTATATTTATTTATCCTCTTTTTCATAAAAAATGTATTACTTATTACCAAATTTCTTTCTACACATAGCTCAATTAAGGCTCCCTATTTACATTTACCCTGGCGACCCCAAAATTACCTACTACTGTCCAAACATAATTTACCCACTTATGCATGAAATCCCCAACCACCATTACTCTCAACTTGATTCAAAACTCCCCACGCATTCACTCAAACATTCCAATTCTCTCTTAAAATAGTAGCATCTCTTTCAGGTGCATACACGCTTACTATAACCCATTTTCACATCCAATCTTTATTTTATCACGATAATCCTTGAATTTATAATTTGTAGTCCCTATTTCCTGCCATAGATTATCCTTCAATTATTGCTGACCTTCTTAGCTGTAAATTAAAGCCTGACCTAATCCCATTTATTCACTCAATTAAAATCTCCAGTCGCTTAGTTTTGTTTTCAATTAATCCGAATCCATTTGAGTAATATCAGAACATCCAAACATCTATTCCTTTTTGCATAACATCCAACGGCACTCAGACTTCCACTTTGACTTTTTAAATTTAGTAATTTATATGGGAGGGTCTGTAAATAGCGCCTTGCTCGGTCATATTGAGTCGAACTATAGCAAACGCATGCTTACGGAGAGAAATTCTGTTCCACTTCCCCTTGGAGAAAGTAGGGTAAAGGACAAGAACTAGATAAAATAACAGAAAACCCAGAGGTTAGTATGTAATAAGGTATATTATTTATGTATATGTATATGGGATATGAGTGGTAAGTTAGGGAAATGTGAAGATTTTAAGTGATGGTGAGGGTAGGTTAGGGGTGTAAGAGTTGGGATAAGTCGGGTAAAGTTGGTCTTAGAAAGGGAATTTTGTCCCATAGATGTTGTTTATTTAAGATGGGTGTCTGGTTAATTAAGTAATGTTAGGGTTGGGGAGGGTAGGATTAAAATGGGGAATCAAATTCAAAAATGGAATTGACACATACTATTTGCTGGAGTTGTCTATGGTGATCTTCTGAGAAACTTGCCAATGGTAGTTCGAGAGTTTGAGAATGTGGTAGGTAAAGTTGGGGTGAAGAAAAGAAAAAGAGGTGAAGGGTACAAATGATTTGAGATAAAGAAAAATTGGATATCAAAGATTGGGAAGATGAGGGAAGAGTATGGAGGTGAAGTTTCAGATATTGGGAGTTGACGTGTCGCGGATGGTTATGAAGGATGAGGTTAATCATAGAATTGATGAGGGAAAAAAGTGAGTGGTGCGTTGAGGTATTGTGGAGTCAAAAAACGTTTCTTGGAGGCAAAGAGGGGAATGTATGAAATATTGTATACCAACACTCTTATATGGTGTGAAGCTGGGTGGTAAATGTGCAGCGAGGAGAGGTTGGAGGCAGTGGAGATGTCCTGTCTAAGGGCAATGTGTGGTGTAATATTAATGCAGAAATTCGAGTTGTGGAATTAGGAGAAGGTGTGGGTTAATAAAAACCATTTAGTCAGAGGGCGAGGAAGGGGTTGTTGAGGTGGTTGGTCATTAGAGAGAATGGATCAAACAGAATGACTGGAAAGTTATAATCTATAGGGAAGGAAAGAGGGGTAGGGGTCGTCCTCGAAAGGGTTGGAAGGAGGGGTAAAGGAGGTTTTGTGTGGAGGGGCTTGGACTTCCAGCAAGCGATGCATGAGCGTGTTAGATAGGAGTGAATGGAGACGAATGTTTATACTTGGACCTGACATCTGTTGGAGTGTGAGCAGGGTAATATTTAGTGAAGGGATTCAGGGAAACCGTTATTTTCATATAGTCGGACTTGAGTCCTGGAAATGGGAAGTACAATGCCTGCACTTTAAAGGAGGGGTTTGGGATATTGGGAGTTTGGAGGATATGTTGTGTATCTCTATACGTATATGCTTCTAAACTGTTATATTCTGAGCACCTCTGCAAAAGCAGTGATAATGTGTGAGTGTGGTGAAAGTGTTGAATGATGATGAAAGTATTTTCTTTTTGGGGATTTTCTTTCTTTTTTTTTTGGGGCACCCTGCCTCGGTGGGAGACGAACCGACTTGTTGAAAAAAAAAAAAAAAAAAAACATGTATGTGTAGTGTGACCTAAGTGTAAGTAGAAGTAGCAAGACATACCTGAAATCTTGCATGTTTATGAGACAGAAAAAAGGACACCAGCAATCCTACCATCACGTAAAACAATTACAGGCATTCGTTTTACACTCACTTGGCAGGACAGTAGTACCTCCCTGGGTGGTTGCTGTCTACCAACCTACTACCTAGGTATAGAATTTATATTTTATCCAATTTTGTCTGATTACAAAATTTTCTCAATCCTCAATGGCAGCAATATAAGGCTATCTTTTTATATATTACACCACTTGCATATAATACAATACAGTTATATGAAGCATGTGTTCTGGAAAAATAGCAAGTACTAAACAGTGTTGGATTAAAAGTCAAACTGCAGACAAATTGGGTAAAACAAGAGTGCTGCTGGATGCAACTCTACCCAACCCATGTGACCACATCTGTAACTACAGTACTACCTTATTCCACTAGCTCCACTACACAAGGTTTCCATCGTTATGTCTCTTATTAGACTGATAAAACCTGTGGTGGGCATGATATCTCTCTCAATAAAGATACCAAGTGTTGCTCATGTCTTTCTTATTCATCAGCTAGTCATATATCTGGATATACACCCAGATTGGAGCCTGAGCTGCCAAGACATCTGAGCTAAGAAAAAACATGTGAGCTAAATCTTTGGTCCATCAAGATCTTCAGAATAAGGAATACGATCACAACAGAAAATACTCCAAGAAATAGACAAAGTACAAAAGGAGTCTCTGAACCAGAAGATTATTTTCATAAAAAAAGCAATAAACCTATACAAGTTATAAAACAGTGTTCAATGGAGGAACCTGAATAAGAGGTCATAAATGGAACACGCATAACCAACCAGGCCACCAATATTAAGATTTGTAATTACACTCATGGGGAGAGTGCTAAACCCACTGGGATCATACAGCCCTTGAGGGACAGGCATTCAGGTGTGATCCAAGAAAGAGGAAGCACAGAACAAATTCCTCAGACCAAGAGTTCATCACTAGCATCAAGAAACCTCCTTTGAGGAGGGAGACAAATATTACGAAAAACGGCAAATAAAGATTAACAGAGCATTGGAAAGAGCTAAACAGTAAGACAGCAGAAACTGACTCCAGAAGTAAATTTAGAGGAGCCAGAGTTCTATAGCACATCACTCCCATGCAAACCCCTTAAGAGAAGTTGCTTGATAGTGGTGAGGACTCTTCATTTAAGGAATTGGAACTGTGCTCCAATTCTTTGAATCAAGCCGCCTGAATGCCTTCCCTTTTACCCCAGGTGCTGTATGAGACCTACAGGTTTAGCACTCCCCCCATTAACGTAAGAATCCCTCACAAACTCAAATAGGTAACTACATCACTTTAAAATTTTGTAGTAAATTAGATTTAAAATACAAAAGCACATTAGTTGTAAACTGTAATACAATAAGAGTTAAAAAAAAAATAAATTATAAGACTATTACCATACAACAACACTGAATACATTCTTTAACATGTAATGAATATGAATAACAAAATCTAGAATGAAGTCATCAACTTATCTCAATCAATCAAGCTCATTACTGCTTACCAGGAAATTCTGCTAAATTGAATTTCAACTTTTACAATATCAAAATACTAAATACTATAAATTCCTATTCTCACCTTTTTGCCATCTTCAATCCACAGCAATGTTGGGTAACCCTTCACTTCATACTCATGGCAAATATCCCGAAATTGAGTGCAATCTAGTTTTCCAATTGTAACCGACTTGTCATGTTCAAAAGACTTCGCCAGGGATTCCCAAGTTGGAGCAAGTCTCTTGATAGGGGAAAAAAAAGAAAGTTAAATATACAAATCACAATTAAAAACACACTATACAGATTCACTAAATTATTTAACCCTTTCAGGGTCCGTCCCGTAGATCTACGGCTTTACGTTCAGGGTCCAAACCGTAGATCTATGCCAAAATTCTAGCGGCGTCAAATTTAGTACAAAAACGCTGGTAGGCCTACATGTGAGCGAACGGGTCTGCGTGGTGTGTGCGCTGCAAACAAAAATTCTAGGCGCCCGCATAGCATTGTGGGAATGCCGGCTCAGTTACCTTTGTTCACCATTCCTCGATGCAAGGCAGCTCTCACTCCAAGGAAAATTGGGACTCTCCTCTTCCTATCTGATAGTTCTGACTCTGATGGAAGTGGAAATGAAGACGAATTCTTTAGCTTTGATCAGTTAGTGACCGAAAGGAATGACCAGGATATCGATAATAGTGCAGAAAACCCTGACGATCCTCAACCTTCTACCTCTGGTGGGGGCACTCCTCAGTCACGGTCAGTTGTACCTCATCGCAAGGGAAAACTATTATTTTCGTGTGGCCAGGCCTCTGACTTCAGTAATGATGATGATAGTGACGTGGATTGTGATTTTATTGCTCTTGACGATCATTTGAGTAGTGATAGTGAGGAAACATATTCACCAGTGAAGCGTCGGTTTATACACCGCTGCATGCGCTCGGGTCGTGTTCCCTATGCAGTGCCCAGGGAACAGAGTACATCCCGTGGCCCTACACCAGGAATAGACAGTGAAAGTGAGGATGATGTGGCTACACTTGGCATGGATAGACCACAGGCATCAGTAGGTGGTGGTAGTGGTGATGGTAGTGCCATGGCCATGCATGACTCACCAGCCCAGGCTGGGACCCACGCTGCTGACTCCTCAGTTCAAGGACAAAGTGGAGCATCAGCCACCAGCCCACCACAACCACAACTACCAGCACAACCAGCCTATGATGTCCAGTATCCACCAGCAAACTGTATCTGGGATTGGCAGAAAAATCCCAATTTTGTTCCCAAGCCCCACTACTTTGATGACTCTCAAAGTGGAATTCTACCTACTTGTCCCCTTGGAACCACTGCCAATGAACTGGAATTTTTTGAATTATTCTTTGACCAGCCCTTGATGGAAACTATTGTCAGGGAAAGTAACAAGTATTTTGAGTACACCATGGCAAATACGATGATATCACCACAGTCAAGACTACACCGGTGGAAAGAGACGACTGTTGCAGAAGTGTATTTGCTTTTTGCAACAATAATGCTTATGCCTCATGTCTATAAGCATAATATAAAATCATACTGGTCCACAGATCGGCTAATTTGTACCCCGGTCTTCAGTGAAATCATCCCAGTGAACAGGTTTATCTTACTGTTACGTATGTTGCACTTCTCTGACAAAACCAGGCCTGACAGAAGTGACAGGTTATACAAGATTAGAAATGTTTTTATGTATCTGAGAGAAAAGTTCACCATGTACTTTTATCCATTCAAGAATCTTGTACTTGACGAATCTTTGATTTTGTTCAAAGGTAGGATGTCATTCAAACAGTGACTGTGACAGTGGCCTGGTATTGGATATTGTTGTATACACGGGAAGTAAACATTGAAAGATACCAGGATGTTATTGAGTATCTCAGGTGATGTAGCGAGAAGCACGATGGTACCTTATCTTGGTAAGGGGCATACATTATATACCGATAACTGGTACACAAGCCCTTTACTAAGTGATTTCTTGCGACTGAACAAGACAGACGTGTGTGGCACAGTGCATTCTAATCGTAAATATATGCCCAGGTTCAACGCAGGTGCTCGTGGTGATGAGGTGCAGGTGTTTACTGCCAATGACATCATGGCATTATGGTGGCATAACAAACGAGATGTCACATTGTTGACAACCATTCACCGTAACGAAATGCAAGACGGTGGCAAAGTTGATAGAATGACTAATGAACATATTCGAAAACCAGTAACAGTGATTGATTATACACAAAATATGCCCTTGGTTGACAAATGTGACATGCAGATTGGCTTTGTTGATTTGTGTTCGTAAGAGTTACAAGTGGTACATGAAACTTTTTTTCCATCTCATGGACATTTCAATGCTCAATGCATATAATATGTACCAAGTGAAGACTGGCAACAGACCACCGTATGGTGAATTTTGTTTGTCTGTTGTCAGACAGCTCATAATGAAGTATACCAGGTAACAACACCTACTATACAACAAGATCCTCGAACACCTCAGGATATACCCAAGCGTTTGAGGAGGGAAGGTGATCATTTCATAATACAGCTTCCTGCAACTAAGAAGAAATTTGCCCAGAAGAGATGCATTGTCTGTGCACAAACAAAACGACGGCAACAAAGACGCAAACACACTCGGTTTATGTGTGAGGACTGTAAGGTACCTCTGTGCATGGTGCCTTATTTCAAGGAGTTCCACAAGCTCCAGCAGTTCTAAAAACATGTCCAGTGATTGTAAATATGTAAATATATGATAGGACATTAGTATTATACAAGATTTGTGCATGTTTATTGTAATAAAGTTGGTAGAATTACCGACAATATGTAAAGTAAAAGGACACAAGTGCAACTAATGTGACATTTATTGTGGCAACGTTTCGCTCTCCAGGAGCTTTATCAAGCTTGATAAAGCTCCTGGAGAGCGAAACGTTGCCACAATAAATGTCACATTAGTTGCACTTGTGTCCTTTTACTTTACATGTTTATTGTAATAAACAAGTGGTAAACAATATGATAATAACTTGAGTGCGGTTATTGTGTTCAATACAGTGAGTTTATATATATACATTATATATAGTATTGGTCTCTCAGGCCTCAAATGTTAGTAGAAAAAAAAATTAGAAAAGAAAAAACTATAAAAAACGTAAAATAAAGTAATGTGCGTATGTGGAAATCGTCGATGTTGCCGCCACCCGGTCATTTTGGGTCAACTTCTCGGCTTTGTATATCTGTAAGTACTGATGGAATTACGCTCTCGCAAAGTTAGCAACCTCAGCAGTATTTACAAATTGGTGATTTCACCCACTTTGAGCCCTATTTTCGGCTAATTCCAATGTTCCAGCTGACCAAACTCATAGCTATTTCTTTAGAACTACATTTTTTCTATCAACTGAGTACAAGAAACTGCCCATTTACTTATTTCAACTACTCAATAACGTGGTCAGAAATTTGCAATTTGGCCAATTTCATGAAAATTAAAAAATGACAATTTCAAATTAGGGTCCAGAATGAACAATGGAGACATTCCTGGCTCTAAAATAACATTTTCTTTGTTCATCAGTCACGTCTCCAGGCCCCTCTGATATTACTTTTGCTTTCTATTTTGAATTTTTATTCAAACAAAAAGTAGATTTACTGTTATGCAGACTACTGCAATATTGTAATAATTGTATAAATAATGTCAACCCATTCATGACAACATATTAGAATGGCTACTTGGACAATTATTGGAAAATGACATCATTTGTTTACTTTTGAACATAGGCAAAAATCAAACATTTCCCCTACTTTGAGCTCCATTTCCAGGTTCTTTTCATAGTAAAACCAATCAAAATCACCTCTATTTCTATAATATGTTTTCCATTCTATCAAAAGAGACCAAGAAAACAAGAATATAACCATAAATATCATACAAAAATAGACCACAAAGTCGGCATTTTAATTAAAAAAACGGTCGGAGTTTTTTTTTTCTCATTATGCACTGCGTGCTGCAGGATTTTTTTTATATGGTGCACACTGACCACACAGACCCATTCTCTTACATGTGGGCCTACCAGCTTTCTCCTGCTTGATTTGAAGCCGCTACAATTTATGAGTACGTATATATACATCAAACACGGTGGCTCGTAAGATGTACATATACGACCGAAACAGTCAAAGGGTTAATTCACCAGCCGTCTCCAACAGAGGCAGGGTGACTAAAACAAGAAACACTAAAGTTTTTCTTTTTACATTTAGTAATTTTCTCCATTGGGAAGTGGAACCGAATTCCTCCATAAGCAATGCGTGTTGTAAGAGGAAACTAAAATGCCAGGAGCAAGGGGTTAGAAGAGTTGTAATTTATACAAAAGGGGTTACTAGCCCCTTGCTCCTGGCATTCTAGTCACCTCTTACAACATACATGGCTTATGGAGGAAGGATTCTTTTCCATATCAACAAGAAAAGGATGTGTATACTTGTAAGCAGCCTCGACCTGTACATCTGTTTATCAAACTTCAGAGACAGTAAAGAGAGAGAAATGAAATTTAATGGAACAAAGTTTCACCCATACAATGGGTTAATCAATTCACAGCTAAACCTGGTAAGGGAGGGCAAGCATATAAATAATAATCAGGTGAAGAGGAAATGAGACGTGAGCAAGATCACATTGATTCCTCAACACCACAGAGGTGTTCTGGCAAGATGCTTAGCAAAATTGCTATAACTGTTGTTCTGGTTGAAGTCGTTTGAAATTCTAAGATGATTCTTCTTCTCTTGGTAATGATTTCCTAAGTAGTTGTGGGAATTACAGCAGTGTAACATACAGGGTCTGTACAGGTTGTAAAATCTGCAGGCTTCCTGGAGTTTTGAAATTCATTGCTTCATATCTTGATGTCTAAAATACATAATTTCATCACAGTTGTTACATGGTATGGTGCATTGTACTGTATATCCTTGCGGTAACTGAGTCATGCTGGCGGTGTTTCTCTGGTTGTGTTCTTGATGGCAGTAAAGGCTGTGAGCACTATGATAGCTTTAGCAATGGAGATCTTTTAGACGTGTTTAGAATTGTGCATATCTTTTCAGTGGCATCTGGAATGGTCACATCTACTTGATCAAACAAGACAACACAAAAATACACAAACATATTCACACACACTCACTCTCACACACACACACACACACACACACACACCTAGTAGCAATCAGTGAAGAGGCAGGGCCAGGAGCTGAGTCTCAACCCCTGCAACCACAATTAGGTGA